TGTTAAATTTATTATTAAAATTATTCAAAAAATTAAGTTAAAAATAATTGATTAATTTGAAATAAATTTTTGTAGTAAAATAACAAACTTTATTTAAACAACTCGATAATGATAAAATTCCATAACTAAATGACTAATATTAATACCTGCACACAGTGTCATAATATACATCAGTAATATTATTGGTACGGTTGATAGTATTATGTGTGTCTTATGAAGTATTCCCATACCTGAAATAAGTGTAAAGATTTCATTAATTATTACTTTGCAAACAGTAATTAACAAGTCTTTTTTTATTTTTATTTCTTTTCAATTCTACCCAATGTTATAGTTATTTATGTAATACTCAACTTTTGTACTTACTTGTGTAACCCAAGAATGTTATATAAATATAATAACCAACAGCTATTAACCAAATTGTGTTTCCAATGAATCGTGATGAAAACGTATCATAGTTTATGAGACCTAAAATAATCACACTTGATAAAAAGAGAACTATGTTTAAAATTACATGTAAATTAATAAAACTAAGAGAACATGAGTAAAGGAGGCAAGTAAAAAATCTTACCATTATATAAAAACAGTTCTACAATATGAAGTATAACTAAAGGTGGAAAAAATGCATTTAAATGAATGTCAAATGCATAACCCCATTCTACATCTTGAGTTTTATCAATTCTTAAATAGCGATTTGTTATAAACCTTAAATTAAAACAAGTCCTTTGCTTATTATATTCTGTACATAAATATATTTAAAACAAGATTTATAAAGTTAGTAAAATTTCAAAGTGTATTATACAATGCATATTTTCAATAACAAAAATATATATTTTAAATTTACCAGAATACAGTAGCTACTATTAAACCAGCTGCAAGATAATCAATGAATATCATATAAAATAGTAGCTTTATAAATTGAAAAAATCCTAATCCCAAAACTATAGTAAAACCAATAGAAGATATACACAAACAACACATTAATAATACCAAAAATGCAGGATCATCTCTTGCAAATTGTGATTTTGTTTCTGGAAAAAAAATTAGTTTTTCATAATACTAGTATATTATATAAACATTTTATTATGAACAGAAGAACTTACGTTTTCTACTTTGAAAATTTCTATATACTTTTTGTGGTGATGTGAATAAAAATATCATTTGCCATAAAGCAAATTCAAAATCCATTTGTTCAAATTTTAATAATTTTCTTAGATATTTGTAACATTTTGTTGCTGCACCCATACAATCCTGTCTAAATTATATGTACATACATTTTAATAAAACTAGCTATGAAATGTTATAATTGAAAATATGATTTGATACCTGCAAGTTGCAGGCATCGGTAAATTTGTGCTTGATTCAGTTGGACCAGGTGAATTACACCTACTTACTGGTGGTGATGTAGAATATTTCATTCTGCAACCTATTTAACATAAACGAATTGTTTTATAAATTTTAAACATATAAAAGTTATAAGACAAGCATAAATTTTTAGTTTCCTGCACCTTATAAAAAAATTAATCTTGCTTCTAAAATATAATAATTGTATGTCGATTCTTTACTATAGTTACTAGTAACATTTATTTATTATTTTTTTAACTATAATAAAGAGTTTATTATCAATCACACTTATAGGTTATGTTTATGAACACTAAATTATAAAAAATACAGCATATTACTGTTTTTTTCAACTATTTATTAAATGAATATTGTGAAATAGTTATTTCTATTAACAATAGTCAGAAGAATATGTATAAAACATCACTTTGTACTTCAAAGTCAAGATCATTTAAATCGTAACAGCTATTGGTCCGATTTCATTCAATCTGATTCAATTTTATATATTTCACTTCATTACACTGATAAATATATACATACATATACTTCGCTATTCATTTATACTACGTTCAAACAGACTATTAGTTTTATATAAAATTATGTTTTTAAAAACAAAAAATACATATGAATGAAAAGAATATTTGTATATTTTAATGCATTTACTTGTTCGATTTCGATATAAGTAGTAATTTGTATTTATTTTACAACTCCAAGTGAAACTATTCAGCTATTTAAACTATTTGATAATTCTTAACATAGATATGTACTTAGCATCAAACTGCTTCAACTCACTATATTTTTAAACTTTAACTATTGTTTCTCGAAAATTGTTAATTGTTCTATAGTACATTTTTTTATTTTTCATTCCAAGTAAATAAATTCAGAAGGGAAAAGATGTAAAAATATTATTCTTAATGTGTCTAATTATAGGAAAGCAATGTAGTTATTAAAAGTTAATTTATTTAAATTTCTATTACTAGTAAATTTATATAACTTATACGTTAATATCCTGTATCTATTAATAAATTAAATTAGAGAAAATGAAATTTAAAATATTAAGTAATAAAAAAATGTAAATGTTGACTTTTTAAAGTTTGGTACATTTATTTATTTATTTACTCATTTATTGTGTATTTATATTATGTACAAAGTAGTCTCTAACCACATAATGGACGCAACAAATGAACCTGTTATGTACAAATATATGATTACAGATACATCAAAAATGTTCACACATCAAACATAAAAGTATGCATGTAATTGAATTTCGTCTTATACGCTGCGCCATGAATTAATATGTATAACTAATACATATATGTAAACCATCGTATCAATACCGAAATTTATAAAAATATGCGTGTACTTTTAAAAATTATGCACTTTAAATAAAGCACACTAATGCTAAATTATATATGTATGTAAGTATATATGTATACGTAAATACGCGTAATTAAAATTTGGCTTACTCTATGTATTCATATTTACATATAATAAGCCAACGTTCAATTAGGTTTTATATTTTTTAATATTCTTTGTTTCAATCGGCAGGGAATACAAGAGCTTTTCGATAGATTATTTTATATCGTGCGAACTCCTTCACGTCAAAATTGGAAGATATTGATAGATACAAAAGGATCAATTGATTTTCACATACATATGAATATATGTAAAAAGGCACTGAACGTACAACGAGTTCGTCCGCAATACATATGATGGTATTACAACGTATTACATTTATTACAGGAGCAACAATGTAATTAAAGAAAATTGATTTCTTGGCTTTTATTAATTAAAAAGCATAACGAAATACTGGTATTTTAATTATAATATCATAAATGTCAATGCTCGATACAGATTAATAATCGACGAAAAATACCATCATTTACCACAGTTCACAAATTATATAGAAATCATTTTTAAATCTACTATAACATATTAAAGTAAAAATTTATTAATTTAATTACACAATCAATATATTATTAAAAAGTCATTGAAGTTATATTTAAGAACGTTTATATTTCTATAAGCGATGTTGTAAATAGTTTGGACCCAAATATATAAATTGTTTTTTATAGCGATAAAGTATATAGCACATATGTAAAGTTCTGGCTTCTGGTAAATCATGTCACATTTTACACGATTTATTTGCAATATTACTTTTATGTTTAAAAGACAAGCTTCGTGTACACACATTATGTAAGTTATGACACTGTTAAAGTGCATAGAGTACTGTAGGTAGATAATTCTCAAACAATAAATAACGTATTTGATTATTTAAGAGACAATCGCCGTTTGCATTCCGTATTATTAAATTCTAACGTTTACAAGATTTAACTTGATCATTTTGATCAATGTACTTCTATTTAATGTCATGTGTAACATGACTTGCTTTAATTTTGTAACTTAAGCATGATAAATTACATTTATTTTGATGTTTTCTGTTTAAATTTGAATGATCTAAATTAATATAGTATAATTTAAACTATAAATTTACATATACATACAGGGTGAGTCACCTAAGATTAAAACCTAAAATATCTTCGAAACTGTCAATTGTACCGAAAAATGTTTCAGACAAAAGTTGAATGGTGTCAAAGGGGGCATAATTTGATGTGATTAGTTTTTTCTTAGGTGGACGATACAGTAGATATTAAAGTCATTTTTTTTTTTTTTAATGAAATCATATTTTTTATTGCATTAATTCATTCAGCTCGTCACTCCCTACAAAAAAGACAATCTTCGACATTCTAATGTTACAATTCATTAAATTCTGTTGGTAAACACGCGCATTATTGTCTGAAGGTCAATATATTATAATCACATATAAAATGGTATAGATTAATTCGACTTATTATCTTCTATTATAACGTGTCATTAAGAAAAACGTACATGCAAGTAGGTGTATCAATACCGCTTCGTAATGTTGAAATTAAAATATCTCCTAAACTAATGGTTTTTTGATTTAAATAGCTTAACAATTTTTTATAGAGTACAACGAGCTGAATCGATTAATGAATTAAAAAATATACGATTCTATTTAAAAGAACAAATTCATATCTCCTCTACGCGCCAATCTAAGAAAAAAAACTAATCACATCAAATTATGCCCCCCTTGACACCATTCACCTATTGTCTGAAACATTTTTCAGTATAATCGACCATTTCGA